TGGCGCTTCTCGTTGCGGCCGTTGTTAGCCGAGACTTGTACGTAAGAGAAATTAAATACGAGACCCGACTAAATGAAACTATCCAATCGTGTGATTATGGTGCCGAGGCAATTCATGTCTATGTATATATACGAAAGATAGGAATCGCGTGGTGTTTCTGTATTCTACCATTTATTCTGATCAACATATGCAATATTTCGATTCTGGTAAAAATGATTTGGCGACGAGCGACGGAATCTGATCGACAACATGCCAGGGTCTCTGTGTTTACAAAGTTCTGTATTGCCGTCGGGTTGTTACATTGCATCTCGACAGTGCCGACGGCAATTTTTAATGCCGATGTGTTGGAAATGACTTCAAATCTCGACTATGAAAAGATGCGGATTCTGAGTGAATTGGCGAGCCTGTGCGCGTTTTTAAACAGTAGCATTGACTTCGTACTGTATTTTTGTATAGGTGGCGCATTCAGAACAGATCTTCATGAATTAAAGTGCAAGTGTTGTTAATGCAATCATTTGAAAATCTTAATTACTGCTTTATTAGTGTGTTTTAGTCAGGAATCACCAATAGAGGAATATTGAATGAGTGGAAGTTCAATACTGAATTTATTGCACGAGTTGAATGCGAGCCTCTGGCGAGCATAATATTATTTTATTCAACGAGTGCAATAAATTCAGTAATGAACTTACACGAATTTAATATTCCATTTATCACATACCCAAAATCAAGACCGTTTAAAGTGAAATAAGAGTCATTTTTCATTGACGCGCCTATAGTTCAGTGCGTCTTTACACTATGTTTGTATAACGCTAATGAGGTCACGTCAAAATATATGCACGGCCGTGCAATACCATATTTACGGAGTCGCAAAATCGGCACGGGTGTGTGATAAAGTTTCTTTTTTTATAAGACATTTTACTTCTGTTTTTGAAATTAACTTTTTATGAGGTAAGGAAAACTAGCAGAATGAGACTTGGCGATTTTAAGTGTAAATAGGAATACACAATTTGTATATGTACCTCTGCAGACCAACATCCTTTTGGTTGTTGCCGAGGTATCGCTGGAGAGAGTGAATATATTGTGAAGTCTTTCTTTGGACATAATTGATACTGTTGTTGTAAAGATGTTAAATTGCTTTCCTTAGAAGTTGCATGTACAGTAAACTGGCAAAAACGATAAAATCTTAGATTCCGTATTTAACAATTATATTATATATATAGTTTCAATTATTAATTTGAATAATACAGTTCTTTATTTAGAAAAACGTGTCACAAATAAATAAATATATGCAAGTTTATCTATATATTCTTCAAAACAATGTGTGGACCTTTCTCGACAAGACATTATATTAACACATTTCAATAAACAACACATTCCAAACAAAAGTTACGCTGGATTGTTTCCTTTTCTGTGTTAAAGTACATATTTATGAAAAAGGGCCTTTAAAAAAATTGGTATAGCTTTGACATTTATATAAATGTTTTAAATATTGTTGTTTTTTAAATTGTATATCATAAATACATACAATATAACCCTCTGCAACCATAAAGCAGCACACGTTCAGATAGGTGGAATATATCTTCGAAAAATCAACCTTAAAGTTAAGGAAATAATGTAAATATTTATATTTGGGATGCAACTTGTTTTATACAAATTAGGATAGAAAATTGCTATAATTTAAATCATTAAAACTCTTCTCTGTTACTAATGGGGAAAGAGAAATTTCTGTATATTTTTGAAAGTTACTGGTAACTTCTGTGTATAGTATTTATGCTAGGTTAACCCATTACCAGATATATACGCCTTTCTACGCCTTTTTCACCCCTCCCCCTTTTTGCTCCCTCAAATGGTGAAAAAATGCCTTATTTAGGCCCCCAAACACTTGTTTTTGTTTGAGAAATGTTGTTTAAAAAATTGACCACTTTTTCGGCGCGGCCCCCCATCCAAAAGATACATCAGGGGGTTGCCAGAAGGGGGATGTGCCCCCTTCTGTTTGGGGGGTTTGAAGGGGGCGGAGTCCCCCTAATCGCCAAGAAAATTTTGGACTTGTGGGAGGCTAAAAATGGCCCCAGGTCGATCATAAGGTAACGTGTAACCAATGCTGAAAAGCCTTTGACTCTATCTCGATCCATTGAGAAGTGGCAGCACTTTGAAATTAATTTTGATGGAAAAAATCAACGCAAAATAGTGATTTTTGGCAATTTTGAGATGTCCCCTAGTTGCCATGGTAACAGGAAATTTCAGACTGAGCATGTTGTTACAAAGGCAATGGTCCAGTCAACATTTGTGCCAAGTTTGATTAGTATTGAAGCAGTTTTTATAGTTGTATAGCAACTTGAACTTGTAACGGGAGACTTTTCAATGAAAACAGCCATTTTTCACAAAATGCTCATGGGGTAATGGGTTAAAGGCACTAATCTATGTGGTATGAAAATATATGCTATGATGACTTGGCTACCAACAGCATGGTCCAAGGCCAGCGTACCCATCAATGCAGCCTGATCAGACTTTCTGTTGGCTTTAAAATCACACTCCCAAGCACATGAATGACATAGTGAACACGATGCTGGTGAAGGAACACCTGTGGACTGCCTCTTCATGTATTAGTTCAGACAGAAGCATGACAAAGAGTATAACAACAGGTCTTATGTAAGCTGGCAAAGAAGATTCCTCACAAGATAGATGCTAAGGTCTCTTTCAGAATTTACACTCACAGGGGTCAGTGGCAAGAGATACTAAGCCAGTGACCTTAACCACTCAATCAGACAAATTTCGTACTGTTGATTGACACTTAAATATGTCACATAAACCATGGATAATTCCAAAATCTAAACAAGACAAGTAAATAATACATAAGCCAGGGTAAAAGTTGAATCTTATTTTAAAAACAACACTTGATATACAATGTTTAAAGAACAACAGAAAGAAAGAACACTAGTGTTTATATCTTTAATCTGAATAGGGTTGTTGAAATTTGTTTAAATTTATTCTATAAATAAATAAACAACATTATCTTCAAAATTACATGGTTCAAAAAAAATTAATACATATACTTTCATATGAATAAAAAATGAGTACTTTTATAAAATGAAAATGTAGGTTAAACAGTGATTTTCCCCACATTAATAAAGGTCATTTACACTAAATATCTACCCTGTATCATTATACTGTATGCGGCTTTTTGAAAGAAATTTTGGGTTCAAAGTAATAAATATGTACCTTAGAATTGTAGCCATGTTCACAACAATAAATATCTTAAAATTGTAGCCAGTCTAAAAATTTAGTTCATCATTTTTTTCAATAAAAATTGACCAATCATTCTGGCCGTTACTTAATCTATCTATGCCAACTTCATCAGCATATTTGTCCTCTGCACTGTTTGCTATTTAGTCGGCACCTTTTTTGAAATTTTCCCTAAAAATGATGAATGGTTTTGTCCAGATTAAAAGATGGACAAGTCCATTTAAGAAATTTAGGGTGGTAAGGATTAATATTATCAGTGATACTTATCTCTCAATAAAACTTGCCCATCATGCCAAACATAAATGATGACAAATTAAGTTACAACAAAACAAACATAAAAACTTATATACTGTACAAATTAAAAACATTGAGTTAAACAAAACCAAAAAGAAGGAATGATGGCATCTGGGAATGAAATGAAGAAAATGAAAAAACCAATGAAAAATTGAGACAAAACAATTTTAAATGTATTTCAGCAAAAACCTTGTGAAACACAAAGCAGCCCAGCATTACATAATCTTTTTAGAATTTGCAAATCAAATAAATTTATTGTCATATCTACAATGTTATCTAATATCTGACAGTGACTACATTTTAGTAAGAAAAAATGAAGCATACAAAACCAATGTGTATCATATGAGGATAAATAGTCATTTCATATCAATTTTTATTATTTCAGATGTTAAATTAATTACTTTTTGAATGCTATGGAAGTAATTATCATAATTCACTTGTGGCCACAGCCGCTCGTGAAATATATATTTCCATATCCTCTATATATTTTAAGGAAATATTTTTACAGAATTTAAAAATAATAAATTTATGTTGTTCCACAATCTTATGGTTGATTCTCCATTAAGTTGATGTCAGCTCAAATAAACCACTAAGATGATGGATCGTTCCAAATTTAAAGCAGGATGAATCCATTTTATAAATTTAGCAAAAACAGGGCTTGATTAAAACATGTTACTCACTGTTATTTATGTCATTTTTGAAACAATTTTGTCCTACTGAAGGAAACAGGGTTTCTTATAATTAACATAATCAAAAGCAGTTAACTCTGTTAAACAAACAAAGCAACTTGGATCAATATTGTGCACCAACAAGTATGTATGTCTGTGGCAATTTGTAATAACATTATTTATTTAATTGCCTCAATTAACATATTTATGTTATCATATAATTTCTCAATGTTCTTGTCTAAATTTTAACATTATTAGTCAAACAATTGTACTCTGTGCAGAAATTAACATATTCATGTCTTAGTAATTAGTTCCTGCCTAAATGTGAACATTTAAATATGTAGTTTCTCGTAGTTCTTGCCTTAATTGACATAATTATAAAGTTCTTATAGTTTTTGCCTGAATTTTACAACAATAATAGTTCTTGCTTGAATTTGATTATTTAAATATGTAGTTTCACATAGTCTTGCCTGAATTGACATAATTTCTTAGAGTCCTTGCCCAAGTGAATTTCATACCAATCATAGTTCTTGCCTAAATTTGAAAATTTAAATATGTAATTTCTCATAGTTCTTGCTTAAATTTTAATATAATAAAACATAATTATAAAAACAATCATAGTTCTTGCATGTATTAACATACACTTGTATTTATAAATTTCCACAACACTGATTAAAAACGAAAAAGAATTTAAACTATATTTTTTCGTGAGAATCATATTTTATAAAAAAACACCCATGAAATATAAAATGCGATACAAGATTACATGAAGCTACAAATAGTGTTGCACCTAGGTCACATTATAAGAATCCTGACCTTAACAAATCATTTGTGGCTTATTTTTTCTCTTCTTTTTGTTAAGTTGATTACTTCTCTGAAATAATTTCTATTGCTGAAAATGTGATTATTTTCTTTTTTTTTAAGTAAGTTGATACTTCCTTGAAATTATCTCTTTGCTGAAAAAGAAACTTTCCGTGTATTCAACTGTATAACAATTTGCTTGTCTTTCGCTGATTTTCACACTTTTTTGGTTAAATCTTAGCAGTCTGCCACCTGACCAGCTTTTCTTGATTATTAACCAGTAATTACCAATTTCTCTACAAGGAACAGACTATTTTATTTGATTGTGTTTTACGTCACATCGACACAGTATAGATAATATGGCGACGTTCCAGCATTACTGTTGCCTCAGGCAGAAACAGGCACCATTCGAGTAGAACCACTGACATTCCGTAGCTAGCTGGATAGCTTCCTCACATGTAACAATACCACTTTCCCACAAAAACGAATCCAATGTGACAGACTACCAAACGATTTCTGAATCAGGAATGTCATACAAAATGACCATTACACTCAATGTCAGAGATCAAATGTCACAGAAATATTTTTTGGATTGAATCAGCAATGAAATCCAATACTCTCCCTATTGATCTTATTGGATAAACACTTATTAAATACTTGTCTAATATAGACAATACTAAGAGAATTGAAAGAAGTCCAAGCTATGCTGTAATGAGAGATAAAATAACTGATGTATGTAAAGATAAATATTTGGTATGTTTTTTTTTCTTTAGTGTCATATTTTATGTATTTTTTTTTGTATGTTCATTTTTAAACATTATTGTGTTATATATTTGGAACAATTATGTTGTTATAAACTGTTTCAACTAAAGCTGTTAGTAGGACAATATAAATAATAGTGAATTTAATTATTAGTCCAGAATTAACACTATGCAGCAACAATCTAAACAAGACATGACTAAACAAAAATATTTCTGTAAAATAACATTGAAATAAGAATGTGAAAAAAAGAAAGTATAGGGAGTAAAGCTATGAAAAAACTGCCTTCATTTCATTTTCTTTCAAACTTTCCATAATTTCTGGCCAAGGTCACTAGAGTTCCCTTTAAAATATTACCTAGGTACAACACTTGTAAACATATATTAATCAATATTTTTTCCATCTTCACAACTACAGACAAAATGAAAGACACTCAAAATCATGTAATGTGATTTTTGTCTTCTGCTCCAGCAGGCAAAAAAATTCTCCTTTTTTTTTCTTTTTCTACATGTCTACTGGAAAAAAATAATCCCAAAATTATGTTAGAATTAATGCCACAATAAGAAAAAATGGTTTATTTTAGTTTTCAGGGTATCAAACTTCGGTTCCTTGTTCACCAGTGGCTTCTTGCGACAAGTTGATGGCATTACCAGTGTTACCTCTGAACCTTAAATTAGCACCAGTGTTTAAAGATTGGTTTTCATCCCCTATTGCACTTTGAGAACTCACTGCATCACTAGTTCCTGTGTCTGAATTAACACTTTTTGAATCAGATTGAGTATCACAATATTTTGACTGTGTCACAGTTTCTAACTGAGAACAGGCACTTCCAGCACTGGCAGAAGTATCACAGTCTGTAGATGGTAAATCTGCAGATACTGGTGCACTGTTTTCTGATTGGTTTAAAACATTATTCTCTGAATGAGTAAAGTTTGTACCCAATTCACCTCTAGAATTTGTTGTTCTATTTGAATCTATTAAAGTTTCACCTTGACTTGTACTTGGACTATCTAAATTTTCTCTATTTGATACAGCTTGGTTATGACTAAATTGTAGCTCTTGAATTTCTTCCTCTAAATGATGCAAGAGCTGCTGGTCAATATTAAACCCGTCAACTTGAACGTCTTCGACCCCTTCAAAAATCTCATTTAATAAACCATGATCTACGTTATTATGTAATATATTATGGTCGGTTTCATCAAGGTCATTATCCCCGGTCACTATATGACCATTGGCAATGTTGGCTTGCTCAGGATTTGTCGAATTCACATTCCCGCCATTTTCTGTGGCCGTCTGCTGCGCATTATTACCAGCATTGGCAGTACCTCTGATTTGTCCGCTAGTAACTGTAATATTGGCATTCCCATTTCGATTCAGAAGTTGCTGGACTCGGGCTTGTTGAAGAATTGCCGGGAGCTCGTAGTGGTGGAAAAAGTACACCATAGAATGCTGAAACATTTATATACAATATTGAACTTGTTACAAGTTGATTATAACATCTTAATCTGCCAAACTATGAAACATAATTGCTCTATGATATATTTGGTACATAATAAAAGATATTATTACCTATAAATGCTTTCTTCTTAGATATTAAATGATTTTGTATGAAACGTGGCTCTTTATAGTTAAACTTAATAAAAGTAAAATAGATTCTTTAGGTAATGAAAAAGATAAAGAGTAAAAGATATGCCAATCTTTTAAAGCACAAAAACTCAGAAATATGTATGTGGTTGCAGATGCTGTAAAGATGGAGTGATTAAAGCTCCCCATATTCTTTGTACTTCTTTTACACAAGCAAACACACCAAGTATCTCTTGAAGCAAAATATATATTTCAAAAGCTTGTCTTTGCTTACTATGTAATAATTAAACTTACCTGTATAAATAGCCATGAGGTAAACAGGGCTAACCCACTGTATTGCCCGTTAAAGCGGTAGTGGTATGCATAAAAGGCAAAATGATACAAGTAGAAAAACCTGAAATACAAATATTGAGACACGTTACATTTGAAAATTGGAACAGTTCTTTACCAAGCTTGAGAATATTAAAATTTTCTGCATACTTAAGATGACTGGAGGAACTGACATGTAAGCACTGAGATTTAACGGACTGTTGAGAAAATGTATAACAATGAAAAGGAAGAAATCTTAACTGACTGGATAGACAACTGATGCAATCAGTTTAACCCTTACTGTGCCGAAAATGTAAAATGTAGACTGGTCCATATTTTAATCAGGACATAACCATTCCTTATAATTTGGGAAATTTTCAAAATATATACTGACTGAATAGCAAACAGCATAGACCTTGATCAGATAGCACAGATGTGCAAGCTAATCTTGGTCTGCATTGGTTGCCTGGGTAGAATCTGTAGCTACCAGAAGGCTAAGTGTTAAACCAAACTTTAAACTGAAGCAGTCAGAGGGCAAGTAATATGAGGTCAGAAACCATTTGGTCATGGTGGCCCTTTGACAGATTATAAGATTAGACGGTGATCTTTACAAGATCACAAAGTCCCCAATCTGTAGAACTCTTTTCAGGTAACAAATGAATCAAGACAAGAGGGGAAAGGTTATTAACCAACAATGTGACTTACCTCAGCCAATGACGTTTACTGATATTCTGATGACAACATATGGCGTCATATTGGTCAGCTATCCATACAATAAGTATTATATAGAAAGCTGTGGTTGTATCATTGAAAAATTCTGACATAATGGCTTCCATGCCTGAAAAAAAAGGAGAAAGTTTACACTTTTGAAACTTAAGTATTCTTCATTCCAACCTCTTTGAAACAAGAAAATAACAGTGCACACACAACCAACATGTTTGCATTATCCATCTATAGAAGATGACTACTTTAACTTTTTATCCCCCCTCCCCACTCCTACAGCTCCAAAATGTTTTTAACAAACTTGTCCCACCTTTAATTTAAGACCTAACAATTTTAATTTAATGAATTAATGTGTAGCTAGTTTACTTGATTAACAGTATCAAGTTAGTCACATACTGGTACTAAAACATACCAAGTTAACTAAGTAAACTACAAGCAAAGGTCCCTAATAATTTCTTGTTTTGACGTGGAGACGAAATCAAAACTTTAAGCAAATTCCCCTTGGGAATATCTTGTTTTTAAACAGAGAGAAAAAATAAAAACTCCAACTAAATTAATTCCCCTTATAATCAATTTATGACTAAGTCAGCAAAATAAAGTGTCAAATATAGTTTAAGCTAATGCTTCCAATGTGCAAAGACTGAACACTTTCTCTATGGACACCAAGGGTTGACAGGGTAACAATTTAAATACCATTTATTAAGAAGGATTTAGAAATATTCTCACCAACTAAAGCTAATATCACTGTCAGCAGAGGAGCAGCTGGGAATGCTATTGTAACATTCATTTCTAACATCTGTAGTAGGTCCACTGTAATATAAAATTAAAACAAAGATTATTAAGTTTCAATACACATGAACTCCATTTAAACTGCCTTAGTATAAAAATACAATTTTTAATTTATATCTGACTAATACAGTATATTTACATAACTCTCTGTTTTAATTGCTCCAGCTGTTCTAAGGAGGTGGTTCTAAGTAAGAAATTCACTTTTATGATTTTTGGCTTTTGGACCTCAGTTGACTTGAGTTCTTTTTATTTGAACTTTGTTCAAGGTGATGTAGCAAAATATGGAGTTAAAAGCTGTCTTCAGACATTTGGGCAAACACAAAGAATATGCTTTCTTATCTATCAATATGGGAGCACTAATGACGAATACCATGTCCGATTAATTGGTACAGAACTAACTTACCGATAAACATAAATATTTGGTGATGGGAATATCTCAACAAGGTTGAAACTGACACAGTCTGAAAATATAACATCTATCTGTGAGAATAATAAAGAAGATTATAAGAATCTTACACCGGCTGATGGTACAGACCGGAATATCTAGCTCAAAGGTAATTTTTTATGGTGGAAACGAGGCTCTGCGAGGCTCTGCCTAGTTTACGCTGAGAACTATATATTCACATCTCTATTGCTCCAAATTTTGAAATGCCATTCCCCTTGAATAACTAATATTCTAAATTTCAAATTTTACTACGAAAATGTATAAATTTTGAATACTGCTTAAGCTGGTGCTAGGGGGCACGGACGTCAGCTTGCACAACGTTTCCGTCCACGAGTAGGCTCAATCAAAGTGAGTCTGTAACATTTTTTACAATTTTGCCTTTTTCGGCATTCTTTAAATATCGTGTTTTTCTCTACTTTATATACAAAGTGTTTAACAAACAAAAATTCAAGTTCTCTGTCTTAAGCACATTTCCAGTCCAATCCATCACAACAAATACATGTACCAACTAATCAAAAAGTTGTTTTTTTGCTTTGTTTTTTCATTACACTATATTTCAAGATACAAAATATGACCAGAACGATTATTGGTGCAAATTAAGACTTCAAACACATAAACCATCCCTTAATGTGCATTTCAACCTGTAAATAAAGGCCACCACCTACATTTTCCCAATTCCTTTATAAATATTAAAACATCCATGTTTCCCTTTCTTGTGAAAACACACACACACACACTTAAAAAAAACTTTTTCCTTTCTTCTTAAAAAAAAAAACAAACCCACACCAACATTTTTAGTTTTAACATCAACAACCCATATACTTTCAATTTCTTCTGAAAAAAAAAAAATCCCCATCCGCTTCCTTTTCTTGCCCAAACAACACACACTTTTACCAAAGGGTGACCTTTGTAAACAGGTGCGACTGTACTTACAAATACAAGCATAATAAATGCTGCAGCCAGGTACGAACTTCTAGCCATCCACATGCTCACGAAACGATAATGGTCACCAGTCACCACATTACGTAAGAAACCTGCGAATTAAAAAATCTCCGATCAATTAACCGAATATTAGTATACTTACAAACATAAGAATAATAGTTGCCGTGGCAATGTATGTACTTCGTGTCATCCACACCCTGACAAAACGATACTGATCCCCGGTCATCTTGTTACGAGCAAATCCTGTTAAAAGAAATTATTTTAACAATTTCTACGCCCTCATTATTAAACAGTCACCGCTGTACATGAAGATGCCTTTTCTGTTAAGAAGTTTTAAAAACTTAAAAAATAACGAGCATAAAGGAAATAGCAAAGCCTTAAATGTTTCTTGACCATATGACTTTACACTTATATTCACAAGTTGTTACTTTTTGTTCTATTCAATATTTTGCAAACATGTATAATCCAATCATAAATCGTTTCTTTGAAACAATTGGTTTTTCAGTATCAATAGGAATGTCTGCTGCAGCTGTACAGTTGTTAAATCTAACTGATAAAGTTTGTAAGTCTTGCATTTAAAGGTTAGTAATTTGCCAACTTTGTAACATGAAACTATTTAAAACAATAGCCTACAACCTGGCTTGAAATTTATCAACCTCAAACTACCCAGAAGTATCATGTGTTTAAGTATGAAAGTCCTTGTTTTTATACAAATGTTGTGGCCAAACAGGACAAAAATCAACCACCTTACTTATTGACCAATTAGGGGTGTAAAGAGTCTTTAAGATCATGGACTTCTTTTTGCTTATGCAATTAAAATTCAAATTTATAGGGATTTTTTTTGTGTCAAAATGAAAATGAGTAGTGGGAATTTTGCTTCTTAAAAAGATGGTAAACTGAATTCAAAGAATGATATGTTTCCTCTTCAAAAAAGTTTTAATAATGAGCCGCAATTATATGTATGTCTGTCAAATCATGCATGTAGTTTTCTTTACCCAAAACATGCCAGTTTTCATCTAATTCCAACAATGTTACTGACATTCCCAAAATGATAGAAAATTACCAACACACACACATTTTTGTACATAATTTACATATTGTAAGAAAATAAATACCTTTATTATCTTCTTGTTCGGCCAATTGTTTGATACTTGACATTAGAATATCATCATATCCGAGAAACTCATCTAGTAAAAATCTACTGAATGTGTCTCCAAAACATGCATCTTTCTCTGGATCTGAAATTAAACATGCTTTTTTAAAACACAAAATTCACTTTTACATTGATTTTGACTGTTTTTACTGGTAAAAAAGTATATAATAGCATTGTTAAAGCGGTATGCCTCCAGATTTAAAATGTTTTAAAAAAGTAAAACATTGTAAAGCGAACAAAGAAAGTAATTAACTCATTGCAAAAGGCCCTAACAATGCACTTAAATACACTTAAATTACCAAAAATAGGTCAGAATATTCCAAAATAGCCTTACAGCATTAGTCACCCAATAGAAATATGGTGATAATATTTTTACTTTTCTTAAAATCTTTGTACATTTTTCACCAAGATGAATTTCTTGAAATATTTTGTCTCATCTGAAGGTAAGCACCTTTAAAAAGCTTCTTTTCATCATCATTTGGCTAATGCATTGAAAGACAAATTTCAATATATAAATAAAAGGAACTTGTGATGAGTGCATTTATTGAAATTTGTCTTTTAATGCAGTAGCCAAACTATTCCTTACTGTGCAAAGGGAAGTTCCCCAAAACTGAATTGTTCAAAGGAAGTAATACATAATTGAACTGAAAAAAAAGACAAATTAAAACTGTTTTAACAAATATACACCAAGCATTAAACTAAGCATTTTTTAACTAAATAATATAAAGTAAACAATGGTACAAGCTTTTTGAACAATGTTTTTATTATTCCATCAATAAAGAAAAGAGCTCTTTTTTGCCTTACAACTTACCTAGTGTAACTAGCATTACAGTAATATTAAGTCGTTGCCGTGTTTTCGGTGAAAGACGTAAAAACCCGTACTCCAGGGCATACTCAACAATATACTTTTCCTCTGGCCAAACTGGAAAAATAAACAAACATTTCTAAGCTTCTAAAATAATAAGAATATAAACATGAAAACATATATATTCAAAGACTAAAATTAACACTCCAACAAAAGCTTAGAATATTTGAATGGCAAAATAAACAAACAAAAAACTCAACTAATTTTAAGGACTGCCTTCTTCCAAATATCATAGTTACAAGATAATGTACACTAAAAATGTGGTGCCCCCACATTCCACTATTTGTCAATCTACTCCAGGTCAAATGTTTTGGGCTACATGTGACACAAGTTGAAAACTGAAAATCTTTTACTAAGTAAATGACAAAAACTCTACAAATACTGAATAAGTCCACAAGCAAACCCTAATTTGCATAACTACACATGCTGGCCAACATTCTTGTATATTTTCAGGACTACAGGTCAAATACTTTTTGAGCTATGAATAAAGAATCTATAATTCATACTAGGTCAAGGGCAATAACTCTAACAAAACTTAAAAATCCACATGTAAAACGCAAGGTGTACAGCTTCACAGTGTTGATGATCATCATTCCTGTATAGTTTGTTGATTCTAACACAAGCACTCGAGGTAACATAACACAACATTTTGGAATGTTTTAACTAAGTCAAGGGCAATAACTCTGACAAAGCAGAATTAATCCACAAGGTAAACACCATGTGGACAACTTCACATGCTTATCAACAGTCCTCTTAAGTTTCATGACTATAAGTCACATATTTTTTGAGTTATGTGTGACACAAGTTGAAAATTGTAATTTTTTACTAAGTCAAGGGCCATAACTCTGACAAAACATGAAAAATCCAAAACCCAAACCCCATGTGTACAACTATACATCCTGAGTAACATTCTTATAAAGTTTCATGACCCTAGGCCGAATACTTTTTGAGCTACCTGCAACACAAGTTGAAAATGAAATTTTTTTACTAAGTCAAGGGCAATAACTATACAAATACTGAATAAATCTACATGCAAACACCCAGGTGCATATCTTTGCTGATTAACATTCCTGTAAAATTCATGACTATAAATCAAATATGTTTTGAGCTATGTGCGACACAAGTTTAAAATTGTAAATTTTTACTTAGTCAAGGGTCAATACTCTATGCTAAGCTAATACTTTAAGCTATGTGCAACACAAGTTGAGAAAAAGTAGCCACATAAGAGCTTACTGAATGAATAGCATCAAAGGAAATTTACTGTTACCTATTGTTCCCATAGCCCCCAAAGTATCAGTATGTTTGTACAGTTTAACGGACGGACAAGGGTAAATCAAAATGCCCCCCTCCTATAGTGGCGGCACAAAAAATATGTTGCTTGATGACCCTTTTTTTTTTTATGTACAAATAAAATGTAACTAATAAAACAATCATAGTTTGCTGTTTTTCTTTATGTAATTTTACATTTGCTGACAAAAAATATGATTTTTCATTGATTATTTCTTAGCTTTAAAATTTTTTTCAAAAAAACAAACAAAACCCACCCATAATTGACACTGAAAATGTGTCTGAGAGTCGCATCCCTGTGATGTATAGTTAGATAAAAGCTAGCAGGGGCTAACCTATTAGACACTTTTGACAAGTTGACTGTTTTTTGTTGTTGTTATTTTTTTTGCTATTAGTTATGACTATCAAGCAACAAAAAATACTCACCCACTTTAGCCAGCATCTCAAGTTCAGACAAAGTTTCTCTGAAAGGTCCAGCATTTTCTCGGTCAACCTTCGATGTGTATTCCACGAAAGTATCGTTTTTCTCATCATCGTCATCATCATCATCGTCAACATTTTCATTACTTGCATCATCACTTTGATTCGGCTGAAGAACACTTTCATCAACAGCCTCATCTTTCTTCTTGTCTTTTTCCTAAAAAGTTTAAAATAAAAAAAAAAATTGTAAAAATTCGAATTACATTTTGTTCCCCTTTACCATGCCTTAGTTGTATAATAGTTTGTAATATTTTCAATGCACTTTTTAAATACTGGATAAGAATGGTTGTTCATTGTTAGACTAAGAGGTTCTCAATATTATAAATACATCAAGAAGGTAACAAAAAGTCTGGTGTGAAAAACGGCCTGGCTGTATAAATGGCCATGTACAGTAGTAATCACAAATTACTGTTATCACAATACAGTTTACAAAGTGTAAAACAGGGTAAATCAAATGTTTGTATTTTTTCAGTTGAAAATGACCAAACTTCAGGGGTTTTTCATGTCATACATGTATATAATTATATAAAACAGAGCCCTACAAAGACCTCTCCTAACAGAAATTTTCTATAAAATTATGCAGTTTTCCCAAAAATCCAAACTAACACAAGCATTTTACTTTCCCCAATCAGGAATTTTAGTGATAATTCTTCACAAAATCTTTTCCCAATCTCTTCCCAATTAAGAGAGGAAAAAGCACAGTATTTTCATTAGAAAACACCAGTATAGTGCAAAGCCTGTCTGCCAATCAGTCATGGGGAATTACACAAACTGTTGACATGCAATTTACTATACATATAAATATTATAAGTACATGTACAGGTATTAATTTAGCTCATGGTTACCTTCCTACCAATCCTAAAATAAAACTGTGCTAGGGTGTTCTTTTCCTGCTATATTGGATCAATATCACATTGCAATAGACACGTATACAAAAATGTGCGACTATAAACATAGCTATGTGGTAATGACTTTTAAATTATTGACAACACCAATAAACTAATAGTACATGCAAAATTGAACAAATCAATACCTGTAAAAACAGTACCTCAAAAAAAACAACAGAAATCATGTGTTGTTTCTAAACAAGTTACTGGTAATAATAATGTTTCCATCAAGAAACTGTTTAAATGTTGTATAAATAAAGGTTAACATTTCACTCAATTTTATAAAACTCATGATTGCCCTTTGTTAAGAAGGAAAATAGCATTCCTTTCTGAGGCAATATATGGGCCTTTAAACAATTGAGGGAGAAAAAAAAAACTCTTTGATTTTGTGAATGAGGCCATATTTGAACCCTAAAACTGTTTGTAAAGGTTAAGCTTTTTAGAGTTAAGATATTAAAGGAACTTAAATGAGCTCCAAAAGCCTAATATAAAATCTGAATTTCTTACAAAGATCAGCTGAGACACATAAATCGAAAGATGAATTTAAAAAACAATTAGGAAGTTTACACATAAATTAAAATTGTATGCTGTACTATTTGTGGTCGAATTGCAACACTTTTCAATTTTGGGTCATTTTTTTAACAATTAAACTAACTATTCTGGAAAAACGGAGTGAGTGAATGACTTGCAATTTTGCACACAAATTATTACTCCAGGAGTTATTACTCCAGATCTACATTATATGAAACATTAATCTTGTAAACAATTGTCAATCCCGTCAAGTGGAAAAACCACAGTGGTGTCCCTTTAAATTTGAGTTGGATTTGACTAGATTTGACACAGATCATCCTAGAATCATATTTTTTTAACATGAAGATTAACATGTTGCCATACCACTTAGTTCCTAAACTATTCTTTCTCTGTACTGGTAGAGTAAACTGGCTTATTAGAGTTATGAACAAGATGGCGTTGGAATATTAAATTACACAAAACATACCAATTTGCTAAGATTTGAATGACCAAGTTGAGTTACACTGAACTTCTCTCCATTTACTTCATACTCTGTCACATTTATAACGTGTGTTTTTTCAAAGTCTTCCCCTTCGTCCAGCTCGCCAGCATTTCCATCTGTATCTTTGTTTTCTATCTCATTTAACAAGCCTTCAAGAAAGTGAGCACTGAAATCAGAGTATTCCTTTTCATATGAGTTTAATATCGTGTAATTTTCTGACACGTTTCTTACAATCTCTACACGTAAAATGCCATTCCGTGGCCATTCTTTCTGAACATGTTGCAAACAGTTGATTGGCGATCTTGAAAACACAATATGAATGTAGGCCAGGATTCCTAACACCACCAGTGCCTGAAATAAAAGAGAGAAAAAAATGAATGTAATCCTTAGGGATAAGATATTATTTCATGTTACAGTTTAATATATGCGAATGTTTAAGTAGGGTAATCAATATGTTGCAATTAAGAGATATCTCAGCAAGGATGCACATATGAATATTTCAAATTTACATACATGTATTGCCTAGTTTTTTATATGTATATTTCAATTTACATTCTACAGTAATCAATCAAAATAATCTTATTATCTGTGAATGCTATGCAGAGTTACTAGTAAGCTACAGCATCAGTATAGAGGCAGGCCAGTCTGAATAGCTGTAAGGTCTGACCAGACCCTAGATTGACACTGTTTGTTGCTCACTCTTTTATTTTTTTTTACTTTGCTTCTTAAACACTTTTTAATAAACTTATAACAGAAAAATTTCAAAGTACATTATCTAAGTTATAGCATATATATAAGTTTTGGTTCAAATTTACACCACTGATATGCATTAACTTCTCTGAATATAAATTCACACAATGAAAAAATAAACCTTTAAAATTTCTTTGTGATTCATTTCCTCTTATATAACAATAAAAATGTAAATATGTCACTGAAATCTCACCTCCCTTGAAAAAAAATCTTACCTTTATCAGAATGGCAAATTCAATAACTCTTCGTATTGGTTTTGGGAAAGCTCTGGCATATGCTAGAGCAATTCTATAGAACAATGCATGAAACAATCTGTCCCTGACATTCACTAATGGGTTCTGTGGCCCACGTCTACCAGTATTTCTACCTTGTCCAGCATTGTTGTTGTTATTGTTATTATTATTTTCAGTATCCATGTTGAACAATGTGATGATTCATATTAACTCATGCTGAAAACATACAAATTCATACATTAAAATCAATATAAGGTTATCTTTAATCATTAAATATAACTTATAAGAAAAGCAAATATATCCAAACAGGCAGTTTAGTGGCCCTGGCCTGTGTAAAAAAGGACATAAAGAGTAAAATAACAGCAAAAACTGGCTTACTAAGATAAATGTTGGCCATTAATTAAATATTAATTTATTGTAGCCTGGACTCCTTCTACAGGGCATTTTTTGTCAAAATTGTGAAGGGGCCTGGACCTTTCATTTTGGGAGAAAAAAGCGTGATTTGTCATAAAATTGTGAAAAAAATTACATAGTATTTGGCATTTAGCGACATTATGAAACCAGAAAATCTGCTTCAAGTTAGTACTTTAACCCACTTAACATGTGCTAAAACCATTTAACTTGATTAAAACTATAACTGTGTTCTTGAGATTGGCGTAAATCATGTTTTACCTGAAGGTAATCAATGTATTTCAAAGACAAAGTCCCAATATTTTGTGAAATTTCTTTTGAAATTGTGATTTTTTTTCCGCCACTTTGTGGAAAAAACGTGCAATTTTGAATTATGAAGGGGCCTGATATCGGGCCCTGTTATAGAAGGAAAAAAAGCCCTGTTGTATGATTCCTGGCTGTCAGTCGGAACACTTGCATACCTTGCAGCCATCTGACATCATAATGTATTAGAATATACAAGGGGTCATACAGGCAGTTTCAGTAGATTACTCTTTGTGTAGAGGCAAAATAATACTGAGCAAACTAGTTTATGAAATAGCCCTTAACTACTGGTAAATCAAAACTCTTGGATATAAATAAAAAACGGAAGTGTAAGTAACGTAAATTTTCAACCAAGAAACATTATTTCTTCTTTTTCTTTGGGGGGGGGGGGGGCAGAAGGGGGGGTTATGTTGTACATTATCAGTACTTTTCCCAGACTATGACAGGCCTCTTTTTCTATAATTCAGTCGACATTAAAATTTTTCCTTCCATTTTATTTGTAGATTTTTTTTCAGAGATCAACAACAATTTAAAACCGTAGCTTATATGTTCTAAAGTCTGAAATTTAGTGAAAAATATGTAGACACTTCTACATTATATTTCAAACTATGCACCTAAAATGCACCAGAAGCTACCCATTCAAAAAGATGTGTAACATCTAGGTGGGAACATTCTTGGGAGGGAAACATTGTAATAGTTAAATGTTTAGAGAGTGGAAGTGACAAATTATGCTGAACCATCATGTTTATTTTACTCACCACAGGTTGCACATATGGGCAAGCCCTCCAGAAGAGTAATAGTCATTTTATATTTTGGAGGATAGTGCAATATACAGATAAGATGTCTTAATTCCAGAAGTTTCTCCTGGTTCTTTTACATTCCAAGTGTTTAAGCACTCATACACAAGACCTTGTCCCTAAGACTGATTAGTAATTTTAGTTGGCCAGCCGAGGAATCAAACCCACAATGCAGTGTTGCATCTAGAATTTCAAAATTATGGGGGATTGTCCCCCACTCAATTGAAAAATGTGGGGGATTTGAAAAAAATGTGGGGGACATACATTTACCTTACAATATGACATACCGAAAAGAATTCATTTATTTTCCGTTCAGGCATTTTTGACAGTTATTGTCCGCTCAAAAACGGAAGTAGAAAAAATAAAATATTGACGAATACTACAAAACACACGCGAGATGACTCAGTCGGCTGCTACACGCGATTTAGTACGTATTTTATTCATAACCACAAGTGAAAACAAACATGGCTGAAGTGTTTGAGATATTTCTTAGATACGATGAAGATAAACTGAATTAAGTTGAAAAGATCGTCAGATGCGCGACTTGGCGCGCACTGACTTCATTGAAATGTGCGATCTGCATAAAAAATGCGCAAATCGCGCAATCGCGCGGCCTAGATGCAACACTGCACAATGTCAAGATTACAAGTCTTGCGCTCTAAACGATTGAGCTAAGTTGGCTGGCTTGTAGGGGTGTAACAATATGACAAAAACCGTAGTGTAAAATATTGCCATTTTGCAGAAGTGTATTGCAATATATTGCAAGACGTATTGTCGTGTATATGTTTTGATGTAAAGATGGGGTAACAATAAACATTATATATTATTATAAGGGGAAACTTAATAAGAATGTATGGACTAAATAGAAAGTTAAGTGTCAATCAATTAGACAAACAAAGTAGTCGCACGTGACCTTTCACATCTGGGCAGCTTAGGTAATTTATGCAGCCGCTTATTGACGTTTAAGTATACTAGTTGTTGGATATTTTTATTTTAAGTTGGCGCCAAAAAAATTCGCCAAATAAAAATTTTATGTGAAATTTGTATAAAATTTGAAGGCAATTAATTGAAAATAATGATTTTATAAAAAACCGGTTTTCCAAAACTTGTAGTGGTACGATTTTTTTTATCATATTGCAATATATCCGTATACAGATAAACCGTTACACCCGTACTGGCTTGGGTGTGAAACATCCAATACTCTTGATAAAATTATACTGGTTGAGCAACTTTTTCTAAATCCTATTGTTTCATAACCTGATAAATTATTAACCTATATCAATAAGCATTAACCTGTTAACTGTAGACTTGGGGGTCTACACAAGGAGAATACATAGTATGCTAATTCTGTATTTTTAGTATATCTTTGTAGTTAAATATAATCAAAGGGATCTTTTCTAGGAGATTGCCAAAGGCTGAGAAAAAAGAAACCCAATAGAAATGTTCAGGCTCAGCTTAATATCATCTACTTTATGATTTTAAACAATGGTAAATTATTCTTTTAAAGGAAAGTTATTATTCTTCGAAATGAAGAAATGGACATATTTGTACCAGAATACAGTTTAAATACATACAAGTGGTTTCATCTGTTAATTATCTGATAAAAATAATCACGTCAGTTTTCCCGGAAGTAGCTGCACACATATTCTCTAACTAAAATCACCGAACTTTTTTGTTTTATTTTTGTTTCTTAAACCATGGTACAAGTAAACAATGAAATTTAAAGATAATATTTATTTTAAAAAGGACAGTTATCAATCTGTTGAAACTGAAAAAAAGATAAATTGCATGCCAATTACTTTTGAGTCGAGAGTTTGATTTCCAAAATGGAACGCAATGCAGAGCAAGATGCGGATACGGACAAATATTCTCACATTGTGTCCGGTGTAATTCATGAATACGATGTAATAGAGAATGAGGTAACATAAATATTTTTTTTGCAAGTATATTTTCTGAAATCTTACTTAATATAGTCATCGTCTTGCAATTCATGCATTCGTACTAAATATTTTCGAACCATGTTCATAATAAAAATTATTTATTTAATTGTAAGACTCCTTAACCTTAACCAGGAGTTTATGTAAGGGTAATTCCGTTTTCATTTTTGAAGACACTGTTTAACTTTCTCCTTCCTGAGTAAACATGAGCCAATTAATCGTATTGTGACATTTTAAAATATTTTTTGAACAGAGTTACAGACAAATTTTCGTATTACTTATGTAAAGATCATTGTTTGTGGAACATCCGGGAATCACTGCAGCGAGCTTGTAATATGATTTAACAAAACAGAATCAGAATTTAGCGTTGCATTCAACAAATCAACATCCGTTTTGCCCACCGTCAAACACGGGAATTATTTTGTGCTCTGTTTTACTAGTGAAACTTGAAAAATGGTTTCAAAAGTATAAAAAATTGAATTGAAATTTGATTAATTTCTGCTAGAAATTTCGAGTATTTCCGGGAGATTTACTCGTCAGGAGTCAATTTTTACTCGTATTTACAATTGGACGAGTGGATTTGACGTGCCATTGTGCTTTATAAGATATCAAAAGTCAATCCAATCGTCAGATAAAATAAACGACCCAAAATAAATTCTCTTTCAATCCTATTTTGGGATTAATATTAATTCCTTTTTGGGAAAAAGATATAGGGAAACAGTAACGTACCAGAAGTTGATATTGCAACAGGGTCTAATTCTATTTTTTCTTTATTTTATGGATAAGATTCATATGCAATCCGGTCAACTCGTCCCCTGGTTAACTCGGCCTCTGGTCAACTCGACACCTTTTTGGTCAACTCGTCCCCTACTTTTGGTCAACTCGTCCCTAATATGGTCAACTCGTCCCCTACTTTCGATCTCTGTCTTTAAAATGTCTTTAAATAATTCTTTTATGTAAAATATGTAAAATTAATACTGAATTTGATTGATATCGAAATATTAATAAAATAATTACGTCTTTTTTACGTTAAATTTTAATGATCTTTATCTAAGCGCACGTGCATAGCTTTGATGTCAAACTACAAAGACAGGTAAGTTTACAAACATTCAATTAATGTTTAATTAATCGGAGTTTTAATGATAATTAAAACTAAAATTAGGTCCAACTCTTTGATTTTTCCCGCCTCCCTGAATGGATTAAAGACTGACGACAGATTAACAGAAATTAGAAGCGCTAAAAACTTTATGTCGGTGCGTATTGATCTCATTATAGAAGGATCGTGTCAATTAAAAACATGATAATTGTTTGTTGGGATCTTGTCAATATAAAAGTTTCCCTGATAAATATAAGATTTATTCTTAAAAACACATTTGCGTTGTACGTTATATGAACATTGGATTATTTTTTTTTGTGCATATCAATCATTTCTTAGAATTCCATATTGTTGGATTATAGACTGCATGTGAACGGTGTATGTGACAATTTTAATTATTTGTGTTGTTGATTGTGTTTTTTTAATTGATTAGTGTCGTTAATTGTGACAATGTACCCCTGCATTGATTGTAGGAAACATGTGCGGAAAAATCAGCAAGCAGGTATAACAATCGCCGACTACAGGTCAGCTGTGAGAGGTGACCGGGAGATTGCGTTCATTTGTCAGCCATGTAGTGCCACTGCTAGAGAAGAGCCTGCCGATGAATCTCTTCAGTCTTGTGCGGAGAACTCACACCAGTCCGACGAATCATGCAACGAGACGGGTTATGTGGTCAGTTCATCAGTCAACACAACATTTTCTAGTGAGAACTACGATGTCTCTATGTCTGAGTATGCTAATGAATCTGCTGCTGATTGTTCAAGGTCTATCCTAGCTGACAACTCCTACTATGAACGGGATGACGTCCTAGAATCGTAAGTCAAATTAAATTTAAATGAAGACCTCAGATAGTATAGGAATGGGGAGTTATCCTCAACAGGACTTTTGAGAGAATTCGGCAACTTATACAAGCCCCAAGAGTAGAGTCGTAAGATGTCAAAAAAAACAACAATGACATATGTGCATGGAAAAAAAAACAATGAAAGTGTGAAAGTGAAAGTGACTATATATACATGTATGACATAATATTGACATACGATATGATATTTTATCTTTGCATATAAAACATGTTTTTATAAATTAAATGTTATTGCTATTGATCGTCTTCGTGTTGTTTTTTTCTGTATGTAATTTAATCAGAATTATGCATATATATATCCTTATTATAAGATGGAATTCCAAATATTCGCATACAAAAAGCGTCAAAATATGTCCAATTCAGTAATTTTATATTATATCATTTTAACAGTCTATAATGATTTGTGAACTATATGAAAAACAAGTAGTGATAAAATATAAGGGACGAGTTGGGGACGAGTTGACTAGAGGACGAGTTGTCCAGGGCACGAGTTGACCAAAAAGGTGACGAGTTGACCAGAGGACGAGTTGACCAGAGGACGAGTTGACTCTGAATCATTCATATAAAGGTATTTTTTATAAAATGTGCTAAATACTTTAATCAGTCAAAATTTTACATACTTTATGATTTAATCTTATCATCAAGCGATTGTGAACACGCTATGAGTTCCATTAAGGTATGACCCACCTAATGCATTACCTCCACTATGAAGAGTGTTCAAATAGGCTAGAACTACTGTCAAAACTGCATTAAATTGAGGTGCATGGGTTCAAGCCCTAGAAGAGGCAACTTTTTTCTTTCTTTCTTTCTTTTTACGTTACATTTATGTGTTTCTCTTGGTAAGAAAAAGTATTTCATTTTAATTAAAAAAATATTTTCGCTATTTGTTTGGCTTAATTATGCCAAATTTATTATCAAATATGGTACCTGATATTTTCAAAGTCTAATAAATTAAAAACTAGGTGGTAAAAGTATTTTATATTTGACAAGCTCAACCAATATGTACTTTAATAAAAATTTAGGCAAACTTTGAAAACAGCCCCTCATTTTGATACATTTTAGGGATATTTTGAATAAGGCCCACCAAGTAGAAAAATGGTAAATAACTATTTCAAAATGGGTGGGGTAGGCCAGGGTAACATTTTCATACATATTTAAAACAATTTGAGTAGAAAAAATAGTTTTGCTTGTGCCATTTGTTAGCTGAATGCTATTATTTGTTTCTTAACAATGTTCAATTGGAAATCTCTTTTTTATAATGATTATATTATAGCTTATTTAGAGTTTGTCATTTCTGAAAAATGCCTTTCTGATAGCCAAGTTTAAGTTATGGAAAATCTCCAGAACTCGTAAACCATACGATAACTTTGTTTAAATTTTGCATACAGGTGTCCTTTAAGGTATGTAACTGACCTATGTTGTCAATTTTATAGTTCCTTATAGTGGCTATTAGGGGGCTCATACCTTAAGGGAAAACATGAGTTTGCAAAATTTTGCATTTGGTTTAATAGTAATTGGCAAGGAATTCTGAATGACAATTGGAATGGGAACCATAATGAAAAAAAAAACAAACAGAAAAACTGTTTCCCGGCGTGATTTAGTAAATAATAGTGCAGGTAATCTGCCAGTACTTGTGCCTGGCATGCTCCAAAATTGCCTCAAATGAAGAAGAGGCAAACTTATTAACCAAAATTTTGGTGTTCTTCTGGTGAAAGTTTTCAAAACCATCTCTCCAGTTCTGGAGATACTCTTGTTGGCAGTAGACTTGACTTTCATTACAGAGCCCAAATTAAAAAGAAAGCCTGTAACTTTCAAAAATTGTGACTTCCCACATTTTTTTTTCCAAATCCACCACATTTTTCTGTTGAGTGGGGGATAATCCCCCATAATTTTAAAATGAGCATCCGCGCAGTCTGATCAGGATCCATGCTGTTCGCTTACCAACCCTATTACAAGTAGAGAAACTGATAGTGAACAGCATGGATCCTGATCAGACTGTGCGGATGTGCAGGCTGGTCTGGATCCATGCTGGTCGCAAACGCATAACGTTGGTTTTGTCGTGGCGTGGCTCAAATTCTAAATGCAACACTGTATGATTCTAGTGTTCCCTTGACCTCGTGGTCTAGATTTTGAATTTTGCTTAAACTACCTTAACATTGTTAATATTTAAATGTTAATGCACAACTTTGATCCATACCGAGACAAAACAACACTGATGACATGTTGACATGTTGAATACAATTTTAGTATGACCTTATGATGTAAATGATCTTATCTATCAAGGTAAAATATGAAGCTTAGGTTTTATTTCATTTTTGTACAAGAAAAAGATGGGATCTGGGAGAATTCTTAACTACAATATATATTCTTCCTTTGATGTGTTTGACTTTTTAAACAATTTGTAACTTTGTCAGTGCCAAAATTTGTCAGTTAATTCAGTGCAATACATGACACAATGTCATGAAGTTTTTAAACCAATCCCCTGCTGTGGCAGTGTGGAGTGGTTAAGGTTATTGACTTCAAACCACTTGCCCCTCACCGCTGGGAGTTCAAATCCCAACAGGGACCTTGGATTCTTTCATGTGAGGAAGCTATCCAGCTTGCTTTGGAATGTCGGTGGCTCTGCTCTGGCCCGTTTGTGCCTGAAATGATTCACAGAAAGGCACTTCAGTGTGGTCTCCCTTTACCAGTAAAGTTGGAAAGTTGCCGTATGACCCTTACTGTGTTGGTGTGACTTAAAACCATGAAAAGATATATATCTTTGATTTATAGAAGTTATACTTCATAATATTTTCAGGCAGATCAAGATGATAATGATTTTCCAACAAATCAGCAGCAGTCTAATGAAGGGAACTCAAATGGGAATCATGCCCCGGCACAGATTAGCAGTAGACATCGTTTATCCAGTTCAGAAAGATCCAATACATTAACAGAGGAGAAAATTGAAACAGTTTCTTGTCCTAAAATTAACTGTCCAGAGAAAATTGTAAGCATTGTAAAACTGTTTTGTTCATTCTTTTTTTTTGCAGATATATATGTTAAGATTTACCAATAAAAGCAGGAGGAATCACATGTTTCTTTTCTGGCATGTAGGGGCTGAGCTTTGTTGTATCAATTTTATTGGACAATATGCATCACATGTATCTTAACTTCATTTGCATATGCTAAAAAACAGTTTGGGAAATAAAGTTTTTCACATTACAGTGGTCACATGAGACAAAAGTCAATTAATACATGTGGTCGCAGGGGGCAAGTTAGACAGTATTTATGTTTGTACTTTAGATATATTTCACAGATTTAATTTGGAATAAACAATTTGTTGAAGATAGCTCAATTGAAAGTTTGGTTTACCTCTTGAACATTTATTTAACATATTTAATATACATGCAGCAATGTAAACTTGATGACAAAACTGTTTATTTTGTGTATGTATTTGTATTAAAGAATAGATCTAAAAATGTTTCTTTTTCTATAGTATTGGTAGTTAATGATATTTATTTTATTTTGTAGATATTTTGTATTGATGCAAGTGTTGAAATGGAAAAGATGAGCTTCAGATCAAGAGCAGGGTAAGAATAATTGTTTAATTTCTGACATATATATTAATGCCCCAGAGTGGGTTATGTACAGTATTGGAAGAAGAACTAGTTTGTTG